ATTCAGTTGCTATTCATTCGTTCTAGCATCCTAATTCCTCCTGGTGTTTTGCAGGTGCAAAGGCTTCTTCAAACGCACCGTACAAAACCGCAGAATCTACACGTGCGTCATCGGCAAGGGAAAGTGCAAGATCACCAAAGAGCAACGCAACCGCTGTCAGTACTGCCGCTTTCAGAAGTGCCTCCGTCAGGGAATGGTATTGGAAGGTAGGCCGTTCAACGACGCCAAGTCTAACACTGCCGTGACCGTAGTTTCAAACATATCGTTTCAGCCGTCAGAGAAGACCGAATGCCCGGAGGACGTAACGGCAGCACGATGTACAACCTCTACAGGGTAAATGTTGACACAGGCGAAAGCTCACTACTAAGAAGTTATAAAATTTTACTTAAACATTAAGGCATCGAAACAACAAACATAAATAAAGCAGAAAATGCATGCAGCAGCCACAATTCGCGTTTTCGACTCTGGGTTTGTTGTTTTATTGGAAAAGCAGCTTTCCATGAGTTATTATTGAGGATATCAAATAAAGCCAAACAAAGATGGCAAATATTCTACATCCTAAGCGGTTTGCTGCCACACCGGTAACAGCTATGTTCCGATGCTACCAGTGGGGTAGTGCACTCGTTGGCACTGAATGGTTTTCACTCACTTTGATTGGCTTTGCTTGTCGCCCTCAACCGCGGATCAGGAAATCAGCTAGAGTGAGAAATAGTGTTGTATAAATTTCTTTTGGTCTCGACCTCAATTTTTTCTTACCCTAGCGTCTCCTCGTATCTACCTCGTTGGTGAGAACGAGCAACATGAGTTGGACGGAACACCTACGCTGGCATTGCAGGTTCAGTAACAGAGAAAATGATGCAGCGGGCTTCTTTAGCTTTCTTCTGTCATTCCGTCAGATTTATGAGGCATACAGGCACCATCACCATCGTTTTGGCCTCCCCAGATCGCCGTTAAGTTATGGCACGGCTGAACGATATTATAGCACCTGCAGTGCACGGATGCAAAGCAGCATCACCCCACCGTTCGTATTGGGTCAAACAAAACAGGTTGTTCGAACATCACTTTGGCTTTGGGTTAAGACTTTGGGTTTTTGCTCCACTCAACACAGAGATGCTATTTTGTTTCGGCCACTCTCAGCGCTGTGATTCCGTGGAGCCGTAGCCTGTTGAAACGGTCCTCCTGGCGGCTACAAACAAAGTAACTGTGTCACTGCGCCGTGTAAATCCGTAAAAGTAAAGGGAAATTGCTGTGCATGCCAACGGCATTTATAATTAGCTGTTTGTTCTAAACCCAAAATGCCGGTGTTACGGTTTTTTTCAACGCCGGAATTAATTTTTCTACAATGGTCCGGTTTAAACAGGAAAATCTGTTCGAAGGAAATGTGAGTCAAGCGAAATGACCAAATTAACAGATAATCACATAACGCCTTCGGCTAGGTTCACTATACGGAAAAACATAGTTCTGCACGGCCATGTCTTAAGCAGAAAATTCAATTAGGTTCAAGTGACTGAATTTATGGACTCAGTGACTTCCATGAAAGAACTC